CGAAGCTATAGGGCCAGGTGCGCGCACGGAATCAAGAACGCAAGCAACACGACACCCACTTCCAAAGAGGGTAATATCTGCTTGCCATTTAATACATCTGAAGCATGAATATTCGAATTTTGTGCCTCTCCGCCCCGCTCACCGAGCCCATTTTTTCTTTCTTGCCGCATCCCTCGTCTTGTATTTTGTTGACGACCAGGTCAAGACGGACTAGCTTGTATCATTCGCGAATTCGATGCCAAAGCACGGTAAGTCTAAGGGCTGTGTCTTGTTTTTGTTACAAAACTTGATTCCCCGGTACATTTCGCAACACTTTAAAATCGGGTCATACCAGTAGTCTACCTTGTGACAACGGCTTCTCTGGTTCTTCCTGTACGTATGTCATCGCCGTTATCATCTTTACTGAATGTCATCACCCTTGCCAGTCATCATCCTCGCAACGGTCATGCCCATTAGCTGCTTAGCTCCTCCACCCTCACTTCCATCCGCATCACCTCAATTGAATACGCATCACGATCAGCACTACCATGGCCAGCATCATCACTGCGCCATGGTCATACATGATAATAATAACCATCATCACCGTCATCATCATCAGCAAACTTGGCATCAATGTCCTTGTGTGTATGAGCACCATCAGTTGCTGTCATTACTGCTACTATATGCTCTCTCCGTGCATGTGGGGCTCCGGCGCTTCACTCTCCGCCTGCAACTGCTGCAACCTTGCGGTACGTCTACAACAGGAAAAAGAGAGCTGCTTCCCTGCCGGTTTCGATGTCCCTAGCGACCAGCAGGAGGTCACATCTTTCCGGATTGATGCGAAATATCCGAGTGTGCGGCAGTGCATCAGCCAGCCCGTGGGCACTTCCCCACCAATCCTTCAAAAGAATTCGTCGGGCTAGGTTCGGGGATCAGGCGAAGTACAAGCAGGACTTCCCAAGCTGACCCAAACACACTAAGAACCCAACAGTTGCAGATTCTTGTAGACACAATAAGATACAGCCCCAATTCATCCGTGCCTCCACGGCCTCTGCCCGTGGCGCAGCATTTGCTGGACTCAGAGGCTGCGGAGACCTCCCAAACATTGTACCACGGGACATGATACTAGACTGGATAGTACATTTGCTTCTTCAGGGTTAGTGTAGAAGGTTTCAGCAGGGTTTGCAATAGACACGATGTGTTCGGCAAGCCCTAAACTCGGCTGTGTTCCGCTCCTTGAAACTCGTCATCTGCAGTACAGCTGACATCAGCACTCCGTCATGCTCATCCCGATACCATAACCCTAAACCCTAAACCCTAAACCCACAATTACCAAGACTTACCCGAAATCGGACCCGACGCGCAGCCTGGCCACCGTCTCGAGGTCTCCGACACTGGCGCCTCCCGGACGGAAATGGCACATTGCTTTGGGGGAATTAGGCACCAGGTCCCTGATGTTTGGGGACAGTACAAAAAATAGAGAATATGGTACAAAAGTATTATTGGACGTGACTGTAACATCTACAAGAAACATAAGAACAACATGCAATGGTACGGTGGAGTTCAACGTCGCCCAGGACTACATGATATCCAAAGTAGAATGTGCTGACGTACTGCAGCCTGGAGCGATTGGCTTGTCAAATCTAGCCCCCATGCCGAACGGCCACGCATCAAAAGACGGCGGTGCGAAGTAAGCAGCCGAGGGCACTCTTAGCCTGCTCGGCAAAATGTCTTACTTCTGCCTTAGTCAGTGCCTCCCAGCCTTTTCATCAAACCTCGCTGAAATGCCCGCTCAAATTAAACTGAGGGGCCCATTTTCTTAAGTTCACGAAGCTGAGCCAATTTCTGACATTAGGGTGCGTGGCGGGGGTCGATAGCGGCAGCATAGTTCGAATAACTGAGACATCGAGGGTCACGTCTGCAAATCTTAGCTGCTCCTTTCCAGCGCTGCTGCTGCAAAGCAATCTACCCTGAGATTGCCCAACGCAAAAAAGCTACAGTAGATGGGTTTCAACGCGAAGAAGGATCTGGGCCGAGGGAGTCGAATTCTGCCTCCGATATGGGAGTTTCCGAAAATAAGGGGTACCTCATTTTGGGGTCCTTATAATCAGGATCCTACTATTTAGGGTACTATGTTAGGGTCCCCTGTTTTCGGAAACCCCCATTTCTGAAAGTCTGGCGCAGGCCTGCCGTTGAGCCTTTGGCCCCGGAGAGCGCGGGGCTCATGGGAAGCGCATCCCGGCATTCCGAGCTCCGCTGAGGTGACGCCAAGGCCTGAGGCACTTAGTACCCTATAACTATATATATATACATATATATATATATCTATACATATATATATATATATACATCATATCATATCATATAATATATATATATATATATATATGTATGTATGTATGTATATATATATATATATGTATAGTAGGACCTCACGCTGCTCGTCTCTTGGAAGCGCCCGGCAGATGGGTTCATGGCGCTTCTGTGAATTTGGGTGTTGCCGCGCGTATGACTGGTAGAACCAGTGAAAGACAGCATGACCAGTTGCCAAGGACGTCGAGAGGTATGTATCTATCAGAATTGAGATACTCTCGCGATCACAACGGAGATTACAATTAGAAATGCGCAGCCTCAGTTCCAAGCAGCCTCCTGATGGTCCGGGATGTCGTCGTTAGCGACTGGGGACCTCGAGCTACAAGTGGTGAGGATGTGGAGTAAGGCATCAAGGACGGCTACTTCAAGCAGTTATGGCGGCTCGTGATGCTCTCAGTGGTGTACCTTCTTTGTCTTCCTTTGCTCTGCGCTATCCCTCCTAAAGTAAGAGCAGCGCGAGGGAGGCTCAGGCGGTTCAGGGGAGCCGTGCCGACTGCCTGGCCACGGTATCCCGTCCGATTCCCGGTCGTTTCGGCAGGTGAGCTCTCAAAATCTGGCAGGTGTACCCATGCTGGCCGAAGCTGCTCATGCCTGAGAGCATCTTACAAGTAGTGCCGCTTCGTATAGGACATAGTGATTGACTGGACGTGTCGGCTTCTAGTTGCAGCTGAGACCGTTGCACCCACGCGTGCTAGCGACGGGGCATGGCTCTGAGACCCAAGTCGCTTATTCAAAGGGCCCCGGGCACCTCCCCTCTGCTCCTAAATCGACGCGGGCAGCGTTTGCAAAATCTTGGCATGCTCTGTGCCACACAAAGCCTATCGGGCTAGAGAGGCCCAAGTGCTTTGGCCGTCCCGTCTTTTCTGGCCGTCGAGCCGTTTGAGGCACAAGGCTACAAACCCCGTGCCCAGTGGTGTGGGAAGGAAACTGGCTGTCCCACCCAGGATTGTAGATCTAGTCTGCTTTGCAGAGTCTTTGGGAACGCGATGGGACCTCGCAGGGAGCTTCAACTTTGCAAGGCCACTCTCCTGCCACGTGCTCTGCGTCACTGAGAATTCATAGACACAGCCTCCAATCTCCCGAGCAATTGACCTCCAGTCTAATTGCTGGGCTGCTTTGGAGACTTCAAGCTTCGATGTGTCGTGCATGCAAATCCACCGGCAAAAGACACAAACAGATTGCCCGTACCAAATGGTACCTATATGTGCAGTGAACAGCACGTGTTACTAATCGACCAGTCTGTGATTTCGTGTGGAGAACAGGGGAAGCACAAGCAAGCCACAAGCTGCGGCAAGTGCTTAGCACTTCGGCTATGCTACGCATCGCAAGCTTCTGTCATCTTGCCGTGGCGCACGTCGCTGCACAGGTCAACCTGCCGAAGGAAGTGAGGCAAACCGTCCCGCATCCCTGAGCAACTCCAACGCAGCAGGCAATGTGTTGGCAGTGCTTCTTTCAACTTTCGTAGCATAGGCTCAGACTGCTGCCACAGCAAGGTGCACCAAAATAGGAGTGGCAAGAGAAGACTTTGCTGTACTATAAGGAGAGGGAAGCGGTGGTTGCCACAGTCATGCTGGTACAAGATGGTACCAGTGTCTTCCACACGGCGGTAAGAAATAGCCGCCCATAAGGCCTCGTGTGTTGAGTGAGCCTTTCATGAAAGAAGCATGGAAACATGATGGGGCTCTAGCAGAGCATTTGTGTGCCAACTGCATCCTTCGACCCTTCTCGTTGCGGTCTCATCCGGTGCCTTCCGCCGCTTCGCTGCCGCCTGACCGTTGGCAAGGCGCTCCAGGTGGGCCGGGAAGGATGCCGTGGGACCTCGAAGTGTGCAGCTGCGTCCGCGAGGGGTTGACCCAAAAGACTTCAGGCGTTTCCTCGAAGCCGGGGTTGAGGTACCGGGGCACATGGGAGATGACAGCTCGGTTTCTGCACTTGATGTCATGTGTCTTACCTCTAGTCTTACCTCTCATCTTCACCTAACACGAAATGCAAATGCAGCCTACACAGGCTCATATTCCTTGCGCCTCATGTGGTGAGTTTGAAAGGCCGAGATGACCTGGGACATTGAGCTTGGCCACCACCTTGGGCCCGTCTGGCTTGCGCTGCGAGAAGAACACGCCGAATTTTTCAAAATGCAAAGTCCCCAGACCCAATCGTAAAATCCGAAAACCGTACCCCGAGATTTTCAATGTGCGATTCCACGAGACATTCACGAGACAGCGCACACACACACACAAAAGTAAGAATCTGCCAAGCCTAGTCTATTTTAGTCGCATTCTATAGTTTTATGTTCTTGCAATTGTGTCCCAGTGTTCGATTTTCGGCTTTTGGCCACTTGCACGGCTTCTATTATACGCACTATACTTGCTAGAAGGTACTGTATTGCTACGACGTTTCGTCATCCTCCCTGATTTCTGCCATAGGTCTAGCAATCAGGGCCAAGGGGTCCGCACCCAAAATGATGAGCACCGGCCCACCGCTGCCAAACTGCACGGGTCTGTTTTGGGATCTAGATTCGGGGGTTCGGGTTTTGGGACCAGTATTCAGATCCCTTTTATACTAGCTTAGCACAACGCCCTTGTAAAACCTCTCCTCTCCGCTTTGGCATTTCGGGGTTGAGTCGGCGAGAGCTGGCAGAAAGCGGCCTCCTACTCTGCGGTGTCGGGTCTTTTCTGCGACAGTTGATGACACAGCCGACTCTCTGAAACTGCAAAATCTAAGCAGGCCTGCTGCTTTTCGACTTCTGCAGGCCTCAGGAGTCTTGTGCCAAAGGACTGTGTTTGTGACAGGCTTTCATACCTCCCTGAAGCTCAAAAGCACCACTCCATCACGTCAATGCCACCAGGGGCCCGGGCATCTCAGCCAATGTGCTATGCAGCGACTTCTCCAGCGGAGACGTGGCGGACCTGAGCCAGGGAGCCAGGCAGGCGTCCGCTGGTCCGGCTTGCTGAGGACTGGACTCAACCAACATCATGGGCGTCTCGTCTGGTGCGCCGTGGCTCCTCACAAGCAGCATTGGGTAGCTGCTGATCTAGTCTACTGTCTGCACCCGGGTTCCACGATTCCCGGTTGACCTCAGTGTAGTGCAGATCTTGTCCAGCAGTTTGAGGCCCATGTAGAATACCTGCGCTGGCCCTTGCAAATCACTGGACTATGTAATGGAACACGAACGTCAAAGGCTGCGCTAAATTAGCATTGCTCGGCTGGCAGGAGTGGATTCGCCTACTACCCCTTTCTTGCAGGCTAAGGATAATGGGACTGGCAGCTTTATCAGAACGAGAACAATCATTGCAGTTCTTCTGAAAAGGGATGACAGGTAGACATCCGAATAGATGTGAGCAAACACACCTCCACGCCTGCCTCAGCAGCTGACTGGGATCCCTCACTCACTGTGTCTGTTTCAAACCTTGAAGTGTCGAATTTTCCTGCGGGACGTTGAATCCAATGAATCCCAAAACTCACCAGAAGATAACTTTTCGCTTCATGTGGTGGTGGTAAGTGGTAAGTGTCCTATTGATATGGCTAAGCCATATGCCTAAATATAATATGAACAAACGAGATGCACGGAGATGATCTGGGTTATTGGTAGGACAAGACCAGTCGGTCAGTGCCAAGGTGAAAAAGAGAACCTAAACGGCCATCCAGACATGCGAAATACATACCAAGTCAAGTACTGCGAGGGAGTTTTGGACAACTCCTTTGATCTACCACAACCCTAAACCCTAAACCCTAAACCCTAAAACCCTAAACCCAACTTTTAAAGAACCCCCAAAACGGGGTCTCGGGCCCCGGCGGCAGTTTGCTGCATTGCACTCTTTGCCATCTGTGCCCAGTCCATGTCCTTTGGGACGGCTTCCGGCTTACGGAGTTCGTGCCGGCTTAGCCGAGAAAGATGTTATGATCATTCACACTATTCTCGTGACAGATTCTGGTGTAATTCTGTGGGTTCTGATATCCAATATCCTTGACACTTACCACATCATGCGCACGTGACTCAGAAGCCGAATGCCTCTTTGGGTCGCGAACGGAACGGCTCCAACTCCCGAGCGCCTGACTGCCAACTGCTTTGCTTTGCTCTGCCCAACACAGAGATGGAGGTGATTGGTCTCGAAGCCACGGTGGGTCAGCGGAACCTGGGGCATTCATCAAAGCAGTTGGACACAGAATCTCTCAAGTTTGCTCTGGACAAATGGAAGAAGTCCGTCAGCAAGTGGCAGCGTTCTTACGACAGCCAGCGCTTTTCGTCGTTGAGAACCACTGCTAAACCATTATAACCGTTCGTTGTCGCTTCCCAGAAGCTCCCAAACCCCCTAATCAAGGACCATTCCTTAAATCATAGGAAGGATCCCTCGAGGTAGATTCCTTAATTAAGGAAATTCGGAATATCTGGGTTCAGCTGTTGCGAGTCCTGTCGGCGTGTTTCCACATCTCGCCTCATCCGTTGATGTGAAAAAACAACTTCTCTACACGACAGGTGCTGTAGGGCTTGCGCTGGAGCCTCGGTGGTGAATCAGATACAGAATTGCAATGAACACGGCAACCATGCTAACAGTCATAGTGGTAATTAATAGTACATGGCAGGAGCATCCACAGCGGCAGCAGCAGTGGTATCAGTAGAAGTAGCAGTAGTAGTAGTCGTCGTCGTCGTCGTCGTCGCAGTAGTAGTCGTAGTAGTAGTCGTAGTAGCAGCAGCAGCAGCAGCAGCAGTAGCAGTAGCAGTAGTAGTAGTAGTAGTAGTAGTAGTAGTAGTAGTTGGAGTTGGAGTTGGAGTTGGAGTTGGAGTAGGTGGAGGGGTAGT